GATTTTGTTGCAAGAAAGAAAATCACATCACCTATGGCCTGCCTTACCGTGAAGTTCTCAAAGTGTTAAACTTTGGCTATGGTAACAACAGACCTGAATGAGTCAGTGGAGGGACATGTACTCCTCTCCTTCTTTATTATCAATGTCTTAATACGTAGATTGACAGTTTGCCAGCAAGCATAAAGTGCTGGGCTTTCTCTTTGAAAGCACAGTATGCATTTTAATACAGGGTGTCATAAATGTACTCTGTAATAACAGTTTCTTCAAAAAACAAACATTTTTACAAATTAAAAAAATAAAACTGACCAAAAGAATTACTGTTTCCCTTTAACAGTGGCAATGTGTATAGATATAAGTTTGAACCCAAAAGTTACAATAGAATAAAATTGATTGCAGGTTGAGCTTTTTAGCAAAAGATCTTTAATGACCTCATGCACATGAATGGGTTGAGGCGCAAATCTGCTCTAGCATAATAATCCCGGTATTTCCCCCTGAAATCCCTGGTGTTCCTGCCAGTCCCCCTGCTTGGCAGCATGGTCAGTTTTCTGGCTGTGCTGGCAACCTAGGCTGCTGTCCTCCAATGACAGTGAACCAAATGCAGTGTCTCCTGCGCTCTGGGACCCAGGCCGGTGGTGAGTAGATGGAATCAAACTCCAAAAAGGAAGGGACCACCGGAATAGACAAGGTCGTGCAGCTCCACACCAAGGCTGGGGAAGCCCAAACAAAACTGTGAAGAAGAACAACAAAAGAAAAGCGCACCAACCTTGCGCATTACCTCAGTAACCAAAATTTATTAAATAAAAGAATGGTACTCACAAACAGCGAGTAAAAACAAGCATGTAAGTCCTCAAAGGGACTTTAGAGGCAAGATGCCAATGCGAATCCCATCATGGAGGAAGCCACTCAGTACAGCTGACGCGTTTCGAAGGACATGCCTTCTTCCTCAGAGCTTCCCCTGAGCTCTGAGGAAGAAGGCATGTCCTTCGAAACGCGTCAGCTGTACTGAGTGGCTTCCTCCATGATGGGATTCGCATTGGCATCTTGCCTCTAAAGTCCCTTTGAGGACTTACATGCTTGTTTTCATTCGCTGTTTGTGAGTACCATTCTTTTATTTAATAAATTTTGGTTACTGAGGTAATGCGCAAGGTTGGTGCGCTTTTCTTTTGTTGTTCTTCTTCACAGTGCTGTCCTCCAATGATCAGACTTGTGTTGATACCCCCTCCCCTGCACAGCAATTCACCGGGAAGACCAGTGTGCTGCAGTTTCTCCTCCCTTAGTTCTCTGAGCTCTTTATGCAGCAGAGAATAGAGGGTATTTGATCACTTATAAAAAAGATACTTATAATGATTTTGCTATATGTATTGTGAGCTGGGGATAGGTAGCAGGTACAAAGCTCCTCAGGGTGAACACACTTTCACACAAGAGATACCAGTCTAGTGGAGTAGTGGCAAACAGTGGTGTGTTTATTTGTGCTATTTTATAAGTCTATTTACAATTGATGTACAGTGACATAAACAGAAGGAGTTAAAAAATTTCCAAAAACAAAGTCCTAACTGTGTCCCGGCACTAACTACACAATGAAAAATCCTGACTATCAGGCTGTCCAAGCCTAACACTTGTCAGCCTCCACATACACAACGTGTTTGCTTATTACCTACCTTGCAGCTCTCACAGACACAACCTGTGTCTGTTCCCCAGGCTCTCGAGCACAGACTCTGAGTTTAAGGTGATCCTAAATTGCCAAAAGGGAGAGGTACAAGACCAAAACAGGACAGAGGATCAGAGGTCTCTGACAGTGTAAGAGAGGAGCCTGGGAGATATGTAAACCCCAAACAGGACTTTTCCAGGCTCCCACTGAGATACTCAGATATATATATATATACTGAGATATACAGTATACAAATACTTTGCCTTTCATTTCTATTTTAAACTTTATTGGTTGTTTTACAGAGTGAGGGTCCACACAGGGCCGGTGCTACCACTAGGCAAACTAGACAGCTGCCTAGGGCGCACTGCCACCCAGGTAGAGTTGCCACCTCATCCTTTTAAAACTGAACACATATTAATTACACAGGTTCTGAGGCTAGTTTAACGCAGATAAGGCACTAAGTGAGTTTAATTACCACCCTAATCAGCCACAGAACCTGTGTAATTAATATGTGTTCAGTTTTAAAGGGATGAGGTAGCAACCCTACGCCAGGGTGCAGCCACGACCAGAGCCACTGATAGGACAGTACAGATGGCCCTGCTGTAACATTAATTATATTTTCCCTGGACTCCATCAGGTCACCATAGGGGCCCAGGAGGCGAGGGGTAAAGAAGAAATCTTTTTTTAATTTTGGGCGCAGGCAGCTAAAGCCACGCAGTGTTTTGCAATGCTGATCAGTGGAGGCTGGCCACGGCTGCTCACAGCCTTTCACTGGTGGAGTGATTATCCCTTCCTCTGCTGAGGAGGGGGAAAGATGAGGCTGTAGCCCAGTGGTGGGAGCTGATTCAACAGAGAGGTGGTTGAAGGCACAGGCAGCAATGGGAACCCAGTGCACAGGCAAGCTCACAATTTTGTTTTCTGCGGCACAGACAGAACTACAGCCATACACTGTATACAGACAGACATACAGCACCTTCTGCACTGTGTGCTCTACCACTGTAGTATGGCAATAGTGGCGAGGTGTTTTATAAACCCCCTATCCTTGCTGTACTATGATGTCAGTGCCTTTGCAGCAAAGTGGGGAGTGGTTGGGAACAGTAAACGTGTGGCTCAGCTGCACATTTTTAATGTCCCTCAAACAGAAGTGTAAATGAGAACTAACAGGAATCATCTAATTGAGTGTGTGTAAGTCAGACTGTCAGTTGGAAATGATCCAATAGCTGTGCAGCCTCCAGATCACTTCCACACCCCCATGTGCCCTGCCATGCTTCCCAGGCTTCACACTCCCATCAGAAGGGAGGGAAATCAGTGTAAAATGTCACTTCTGGGTCCTGGTGTCACTGTCACCAGAGAGGATTGGATGATGTCAGCTGGAGACAAAGCCATCTCCTGCAAACTTCAGCCAAACCATGAGGTATCCTGCCAATGAGGTGCTGTGCAAGTCATGCTGTGCGCAACATCACTTTCTCCCAGCTCCCCAGTCTCCACACTGAGCTAACATTGGCAAGGAGGTGAGAAAGCACCCCTGCACAGGGAAGCTGGTCTTGCCTAGGGCGGGAAATAGTCTAGCACCGACCCTGGGTTCTCATATGCTTTAACTTTGCCCATCTTTATGTGCCACGAATGGCTACCTGGGTGGAGAAAAACAGCAACATTTTCAACCTAGAACAGACCTGTGCCCTAAACCATCCTTGCATGAGGCCTTATTCTGCTGAAAAACTGCTTTACCTGTGTGTTGAATGTTTTTCTTCTTAATCATTGCCTGTGACGCATGCGCAGAGCAGTGTACACTCTTAATTAAGAAGATGCATGATGCAGACGAGTATTGTGATAAGGTGGTAGTGGATGGAGCAACGAGGGGGAGAGTGGACCTTGCATGGAGGAAGCCAAACTAAGAAGTAAGTAAACTTCAACAAAATGCAGACCATCTGCACACAGGCACTGACTCCCTGTTGCATAAATGTTAATGAAATGGGTAAGAGATGAGTCCAGCTCCTGTTCTCTACCTTTACTTCTCCTCAGCCACTACGCTTAAGACCCAAAAAGGGTGAAATGCATCTGAGAAGTTCTCTACAGATGGAGAACAGGAGCTGAAGCCATATTTTACCCATTTCATTCACATTTATGCAACAAAGAGTCAGTGTCTGTGTGCAGACTGCTGCCATTTTGTTGAAGTCTACTGGAGCCTCATAAGCAAGTCCTTTCTGGCTTGCACCAGTTTATCCACATGTTGATCCAACTAATGCAGGTTTGAGGGGCATTTGAGTGGTACTATTTACATTGTTTTGGGATACATATAGCAGGTAAGTATGTCATAAGGTACATGTTTGCACTTTATGGCATTATGGCATTAGCCTTAGGACCTGCAGCTTTAACAAGCATTTGGTAGACTTTCACTGCTTCTTAACAGGTGGATATTAAAATACAAAAAATACCTATTTAAAATATAACTACAGAAAAAAACCTTTTTTTTGCCTAGTTTTAGACTAGAATGTTTGTGGGTTAGAGCCTTTGTCAATTGTTAAATAATATCTCTCCATTAAGGAGATTTTACTTCTTGTTCTGACTGACAACCACCACTTGGACAGATAATGTGAGGGAAATCTCACAATGAGGACACAGCATAAAATTAGTCTGATAGTTCTCCACTTTTTTAGGGAAAAGAAAAGCTTTTATTTCTGCCTCTGTCCTCCTTGGGGTAAATTCCTCTCATTTCTTGTTCTTTATAACACATATCATATAGATAGAAAGTGAGACAACCATCAAACAGACAGGAAGTGAGTAGAAATGAGGACAGAAACAACAATAAAAAGGTAACCCTACCCAATCCTGTCAAAAAAATGGATGGGTTTGAACTGACAGGGTAGTTGTAATTGGGGATGTTGGCCAGCCTCAGACTTTCACTGTTTTGACCTTTTAGCTTTGCACTGCGAATATCCAATTGCTAATATGGCTTTAATCCAAAAGATTTACCCCCCTTCCCGACCAGGGCACTTTTTGCGGTACGACACTGCATTATTTTAACTGACAATTGCGTGTTCATGCAACGCTGTATGTAAATGAAATTTATGTAATTTTTTCCCCACAAATAGAGCTTTTTTTCGGTGGTATTTGATCACCTCTGTGTTTTTTGCGCTATATTTTTAACTTTTTTCTATAAAACATATCCAATAAGAAAAAATGTAAATCTAATTTCTTCATAGATTTAGGCCAAACTGTATTCTGCTACATGTCTTTGCTAAAAAAAATTCCAATAAGTGTAAATCATTAGATGTACGTAAAAGTTATAGTGTCTACAAATGGCGGTATATATACTGGAATTTTTCTTCTCAGTACTAGTAATGGTGGCGATCAGCAACTTATAGCGGGACTGTGGGACTGCAGTGGGCATTCTGACACTTGGTGGGAACTGACTAACTGCCACTGACATCCCCAGTGACACTAATACAGTGATCAGTACTAATAAAAAGCACTGACACTTTACTAATGACACTGGGAAAGAAGGGGTTAACATCTGGGGTGATCAAAGGGTTAACTGCGTGCTGTGTGTTTTATATTGTGTGCTGTTTTACTTGGGAGACATGCTGCTTTGTATCACTTAGCTGTGCAGAGAGATACAAAGCAGCATGTCCATGCTGACAGGAGAAAGATATGTGTTGTTTACACACAAGCCTCTCCCCTGCCAGCTTTGCCAACAATCACCGAGTGCCAGCTGGGAATTAACATTTGGGGCAATCAAAGGGTTAACCATGTGTGTTTTACATTGTGTGCTGTTTTATTTGGGAGACATTATTATTATACAGGATTTATATAGCACCAACAGTTTGCGCAGCGCTTTACAAAATGAAGGTAGACATTACAGTTACAATACAATTTGGTACAAGAGGAAACAGATGGCCCTGCTCGTCACAGGTTACAATCTAGGAGATTAGATACTGCTTTGTATCTCTCTGCTATGCAGAGGGATACAAAGCAGCAGGTACATGCTGACAGGAGAGAGATCTGTGTTGTTTACACACAGTTCTCTCCCCTGTCAGCTTTGCCGACGATCACCGAGTGCCGGCTGTGAATCGCCAGCCGGGACCCGGTGATTGATATCCCTAGCTGCCAATAGGGGCACGGGTAATGCGATGTGTGCACACGTGCCCCCTACCCGGACATGCAAATCAAAAATATATACAGTTGTGTTCAAAATAATAGCAGTGTGTTGAAAAAAGTGAATAAAGCTCAAAATCCTTCTAATAGCTTTTATTTCCACACACACAAATGCATTGGGAACACTACACATTCTATTCCAAATCAAAAAACATGAAGAAAAATATATCACATTTGTGTTGTTCCTCTAAAAAAATTGAAGAAAAGTGAATATTAGACTGTTCAAAAAAATAGCAGTGTTTGTATTCTTCTTTACAAACTCAAACATTCACTATATAAACTGAAAAATGTTTGAAGATTTTGCTTTCCTTTGAATCACTTAACTAATATTTAGTTGTATAAGCACTGTTTCTGAGAACTGCTGTACATCTGTGTTGCATGGAGTCAACCAACTTCTGGCACCTGTGAACAGGTATTCCAGCCCAGAATGATTGGACTACAGTCCACAGTTCTTCTCTATTTCTTGGTTTTGCCTCAGAAACTGCATTTTTTATGTCACCCCACAAGTTTTCTATTGGATTAAGATCCGGAGATTGGGCTGGCCACTCCATAACGTCAATCTTGTTGGTCTGGAACCAAGATGTTGCACGTTTACTGGTGTGTTTGGGGTCGTTGTCTTGTTGGAACACCCATTTCAAGGGCATTTCCTCTTCAGCATAAGGCAGCATGACCTCTTCAAGTATTCTGATGTATTCAAACTGATCCATGATCCCTGGTATGCGATAAATAGGCCCAACACTGTAGTATGAGAAACATCCCCATATCATGATGCTTGCACCACCATGCTTCACTGTCTTCATGGTGTACTGTGGCATGAATTCAGTGTTTGGGGGTCGTCTGACAAACTGTCTCCAGCCACTAGACCCAAAAAGAACAATCTTACTTTCATCAGTCCACAAAATGTTGCGCCATTTCTCTTTAGGCTAGTCAATAAGCTCTTTGGCAAATTGTAACCTCTTCAGCATGTCTTTTTTATCAACAGTGGGACTTTGCGGGGGCTTCTTGCAGATAGCTTGGCTTCACATAGGCGTCTTCTACGTGTAACAGTACTCACAGGTAACTTTAGACCTTCTTTGATCTTCTGGAGCTGATTGTTGGCTGAGTCCTTGCCATTTTGGCTATACTTCTATCCATTCGAATGGTAGTTTTTCGCTTTCTTCCACGTCTTTCAGGTTTTGGTTGCCATTTTAAAGCATTTGCGATCATTTTAGCTGAGCAGCCTATCATTTTCTGCACTTCTTTATATGTTTTCCCCTCTCCAATCAACTTTTTAATCAAAGTACGCTGTTCTTCTGAACAATGTCTGGAACGACCCATTTTCCTCAGAATTTCAGAGAGAAATGCACTGTAACCAGCATGTACAACATTTGCTGCCTTCCTTCCTTAAATAAGGGCAATAATTGCCCCCTGTTTTTCAAAGAATGAATGACCTCACTAATAGAACTCCACACTGCTATTATTTTGAACATGCCCCTTTCAATTAGTGATTCGATTACACAGAATCGGCAGCATGCATGTCATGACTGTTGGGTCTGTTGGATTTTTACTACTCCACTATACCTGCTAGTAAATTATTTGCCATGTAGAAATATAATTTCTACCAAAAACAGTGATTGATCAGGTTAGTGATGTGTGACTGCTATTATTTTGAACACAACTGTATATGCGCAGCCGTGCCAACCTGTAGCAGTACTTCTGCTATAAGGCAGATGGCAAGTGTATGTCATAGAATTAAATTTGTCAGTAGCAGGCAGATAACAAACATGAAAATAACTGCTTGAAATGTGAACAAACACAGTTGCGTCAACATTTATTTTTTTGTTTTTTTAACAGAACAAAGTCTATAGTCACTCACTAAAGTATAGTGAGTTGGGGAGTTATTTTAGAAATGTCAACAGGATCTGAGGAGTGGACCACATTATACAGAAAATTACAAGAGATATGATGCTACAACCCATCAGTTGCATTCTGCTGTGAATAGAGCTCCACATGTGCCAAAACCAAAGTCCTGCTAGCTGCTAAATAGACATCCAAACAAAAGGTTGACAGCTCTGTGGAATGTGCTCTTAAAATACCATTTATTGCAGGTCCATAAGAAGTACAAAAAAAGCCCAATGCAGAGAAATTTGACGTGATGTAGCCCTCGTGGGCATTATACAGACCTGTGCTTACAGAATGATGGGTGCTACCACTGCTGACCTCATAAGAATATTAGTTACCTGACTATTCCCTGAATACTAGGTACTGACACTGAACAAGTATGCTGATTAAAATCAAAGTGATATCAGAACTCCCGATCAGCATACTTTTTCCAGGTCAGTGAACCAAAGTATTAAAGGCATCAAATTATCATGCAGCAAGGCAAGTAGCATTTTCATTAAGTGAATTTGCAGTCTCAGTTTTCGTAATCTCCCAGTACAGGTTTACTTTAAAGCCCAACTCCGAACAAAAAAAAGCTTTCCCATGCAGAGGGGTCATGCTCACACTGCACTGGTTAACTGATCATTTTTGTCTAGGGGAATGGGGAAACACAGATATACTTATCTAATCTTCCAATCCTCCCTGCACAAGATCAGTCCCTGTGGCTCCTGCCCCCCTCCCCCCATGGTCTAGCAGTCTTGTGCGGTGGACTGTTCCTGATGTCATCACGCCCATAGACCTGCTGTGGATGTGGGCCCGGCAGGAACAGTTCACCACTGGACCAGGAGGAAGCATGGTTTGCTGGTAGAATGGAGGATCGGGTGATAATATAGCTTCCTCCCCGGACAAAATGAGCAGTTAACCTATGTAGTGCAGTGCAGGCACAGCCCCACTGCATGGGAAAACATTTTTTTTGCCCGTAGTTGGGCTTTAAGAGGCCATGAACCATATATACAGTATATATATATGGTTCAAGAAATGAACTAATTCATGCACAGATGTCAATGCAAATTGAACATGAAATCCCAAAAATTAGTGCAGGAAAATTTTTCAAAGTCAGTGCGACTCTGAGTCGCACCGATTTGAACAGTTCCATAGCCACAAATGGGGTGCGACTTGTCATGTGACTTTGATCTGTCAAGGCGCATGAAAGTAACACCAGTGTGAACTGGGGTCTAGGCTTTACATTCTAAGCACATCAAACTACTGAATAGAAGTACAGGTATACAGGTGGCTATTCTGATTGCAAGTCTGTTAACTGGTCATTGTTATGTATATATAAATACAAACGATCTGCTTGTTTTTTTATGTGTACATTTATCAGAGAAGTATTTAATTTAAAAAGTTATTAAGTAAGGTAAGTAAATTATTAAACAAGAGCATATTATTTGTACCTTTTTATACTTACTAAAGGAAATATTTGTACATACTCATATTGAGTTTTTTATATAAATGCTAGTCCTGATAATGAGCAGGTCCAGTTCAGCTGAAAAAAAGATCCACTGCTTTCTAAAAAAAATAAAACTTCAATAAAGTGGGTAGAGGGCAGCATACAAAAACATACATAAACTATATAACAGAAGCAATAAAATATGTTCTGAATGAAGATATAACCAACAGCTGGATGTTTTCTCCACTCTTCACAGATAGGCCTGTGTGGATCTTAATAATACATTTCTGTGCTGCATGCTGCACAGCTGTCAAAGTCCATCTCTAACTGTCAATTGACAGCTTCTACTAGCGCACAGCTGTGATGCTTGACTTGAACTCTAATATTATGTCATTGTTCTTGCAAAGGGATAGCTGATACTTTGCATGATGGTTAGTATGCAGCATAGTCCTGACAAATTGTCATGCTGCCAATAAAACTAAATTTACCAGCAGCAATAATAGCTCTAATTTAATTCTCATACTAACAAGACGGCTAAATTAACACAGCAGTTTAATGAAGGTATGTGCGCTACTATAAGTGTATATATATATTTTTTTACTTGCTAAGTGATCTAGACACCCCTGCCAGTCACCACAGTCAGGTTCTGGACTCCAACTGCAGTGTAAACACATTCTGGTCCAAAACATATCCCCAGCCTGCATACTGGACAGTTGAGTAAGAGCCATTTCTATGCTCCCTCTTCCTGTAGAAATGTTCCAAGAACCATGTGCATGCAGCTTTATTGGCACAGAGTCTGAGCAGTACTTTATAGGGAAACTACAGGAGACTGATATCAACAAAATAAGCGTACACTTACACTAGATGAGTGCTTTCCAATTTCAGTCCTCCAGTACCCCCAACAGGCTATGTTTAGGCAATCTTGCTTTCATAAATCAGATGTCTCAAAAATACCAGTCGATTGATATTGATTATAAGCACCTGCGCAAGATGAAGAAAATCCGGGAACTATGACCTGTTGGGTGTACTTGATTACTGAGGTTCGGAACCACTACACTATATTCATTCATAAAACAGCATGCAGCACAGCCTGATTTACTCTTAGTCTTCAGTCACACCAAATCTGACTTTGAAATCGTGCAACTTCACTTGAAAATCACACAATTTCAAAAGTGTCAGGTACAACTTGGAAGACATCTGTGCGACTTCATGCAGAGATGTGTATGCAAGTTGCACCTGAACTTGCAAAAAGTAGTGCATGAAGTACTTTCAAAATAGGTGTTACTCTGACGGAGTCAGAATCGCACCGATATGATTGCTTCCATTGCGGATAATATGGTGAGACTTGTCATGCAATTTGAAACTATCAAATCTCATGACAAGTGGCACCAGTGTGACTGGGGACTTAGGCTGCTTTCACACTGATCCATTTTTTCTTTTCGTTGCATTAAAAAAAAAAAGGAAGCAAAACATGTGACCATGCAATCCTATGGAACTCTTCACAGTGGGTCCCTTGCATTTAGTAAAATCCTGCTTGATTTTTTGGTTTGGTGCGGTTAAAAAACACACCAAAAATGCATCTCGCCACTGAAATGCATGGAAAACGT